GCTCCCCCCCCCCCCCTCCCGCTTCTCTCCTCGTTCTTATCCCTCTCTGGTTCCAGTAAAATACTAACTACAACTCTGCACCCAAGGCGATTTTTACAAACAATGCAGATGAGTAATGCATGTTTGCTTCGCAAAAAGCCGGACAACAAATGCAGTAGTAGCAGTAGTAGAGGTTGCACTTTTCCACTAGAATTATTGTTTTCCATTCTTAAAATTCCCATTAGTGCTGGAAATTTCGCTACTTTTTTACACAGCAAAAATCTCCAGCTGTTCACTTTATGTGTGTATATTTTACTACACATGTGCTAAAAGTTCGCTTTTTTCTTCCACACTACTACTACTACAACTACTACTGCAGCTTTCACAGCAACTACTATGACTATCACAACTGCCACCATAAGCATCAGAAAAAACATAGAGTACTGCCGAATTTCGGCACTCACTCTTTGAAAATGAGCTTTTATGCGTTCTGATAATATTAATGCTAAGAAACTTCAAATTCGTTCATTCATTTATACAGTATAATCAATTCTGTTGCAAACCTGGCTTCATTTGTAGCACAACCTGCTGTGGCTCAAGCTGTACAACCGTTGCACCATCCGCATGCTTACTTCCCAAAGGCAGATTCTGGAAATTGACAATTAAGCAGTGCACATGAGTGAAAATGCTCCACATGAAATAAAAGCAAATTCGAAAATTTTTCGTAGTTGCTGATTCTAATACGATGGAAGCTACTTTTTTTAAATCTGTAAAATAATTTTCCTCTTAAACATTGCTCAGTACATTTTTACTAATGTATGCATATGTTTGATCAGGCTGAATACTGAAGGTCATGCTAATGGTCATGAGTGACAGTCGGGTGGCGCCCGGAAGCTGCTTGCGTGACAAAATTTTAGGAAATGACAGAGCAGATAGCACGTGACTGTCATGTGACTGTCATTTTGCTATAGCGCTGCACAGCAAAAACGCATAAAAAAAATCGAAGGCTGTATAACAGTGGTTTCGGGCAAAATTTTTTTTACACATTGGTCTAGTTGCGTGGAAAAATAGCCC